GAGAGAAAGTTCTGAGAAAGCAAGCTGCCAGGTCTGGGACTCGAACCATGATTGGTCATGTGGGAGTCCAACCACCACACCACCTGCTGGCCTCAGTTGGACCTTTTCTTTGTTTGTATAACGTTTTTGTCTTCAGGAGTGTGCACTTGCGAGAGTAGAGGGTACTCACTCTCTGGTGAGTGCATATGCCTTCTAGCAAAATTTAAAAAAAACAAATAAATAAATAAAATAAAATTAATTCCTAAAAAAAGAAATGTGTTTCTATATAGTAAGTGGATTAAATAAGAAATCTCAGTGAACTTTATCTAAATACATTTCTCTGTATAGATTTCAGCAAAAACAAGGACAAAGTAAGGAGGAAAATGAAAACTCAGAGACAAGAGGATGAAGTGAGAATGGACTTAATCAATTTATTGATCTGGAAGGAAATCAGCATCTACTACAAGTTTACTAATGTGGAGTCCTATACCTGATAATTGTTCAAAAAATTTGCTATGCTTAATACAGACACATATTTGTATATATGTGTGTGTGTGTGTATACTGAACCTTTTATAAATGTAGAAACTGAACTCAGAGAATTAAGTAAACTGATAAATGACAGTAAGACACAGGAAAATAGGTCCGATACCAATTTTTTAATATATAATTTTTAAAAAGAAATAATTAAGTAATTAATATTATTCTTTTAACTTAACCAGAGAGTGACAAAGAGAGAGAAAGAGAAAGCAGGCTGCTGCGTCTGAAACTCGAACCATGGTTGGCCATGTGAGAGTCCAGCGCCTTAACCACTGTGCCACTTGCTGGCCTCAGATCTCATACCAATTTATTTGACTTGAAAGACCATGATTACCCACTTGGCTAGGAGAACTGAATGATGGGAGGGAATTTCTGACACACCCAGTATTTTATTCCCTTTGACTCAATCAAAAAGCCCACACTCAAGATGGACAGAATAACAAATAGAAAAATTTTCTGGAGGTCCATTTCTTCAAGGCTCCCATCGCGTCTTTGTTCTTCAGGCTGTAGATGACGGGGTTCATCATGGGAATGACCACCATGTATATCACTGAGGCCACCGCAGTCTTCCTAGGAGAGTCAGAAACTGCAGAACTAAGATAGATCCCAACATCTGTCTTATAGAACGAGGACACAACAGACGGGTGAGATGCACAATTGGAAAAACGCTTTATACTCCATAGGTTGGTCACTAAATACACCAAAATGTTATTGATAAGGGTATCAGAATAGGCAATATTGAGGATCTTGGCAAGGTCACAGAAGAAGTGGGGGAGTTTCATGTCTGTGCAGAAGGACAGTCATAGGACTATCAATGCCTTATGGAGCAAGGCATTCATGATTCTGATCAACAGAGAGATTAGAATCAGCAGACACAGACTCAGGTATTCAGGATGACCGTATAATACAAAGGATGGCAGATGGCCACGTAGTGGTCATAGGCCATCGCGATCAGGAGTAAATTATCCATACATATACAAAATGATGAAAAAGTACACCTGTACGAGGAAGCCAGCCTAGGTGATAACTTTATTTCCTGTCTGGATGTTCACCATATAGCATCTTTGGAACTATAGTGGAAGTGAAAAAGATGTCAGCAAAGGACAGATTGGAGAGGAAGAAGTACGTGGGGGTGTGCAGGTGGGAATCTGAGTTGATTGCCAGGATGATGAGTAGGTTGCCCAGAACAGTGACCAGGTACATGGACAGGAAGACACTGAAGAGGAGGGGCTGCAGTTCTGGATGCTCTGTCATGTCCATGAGAAAGAGTTCTGAAGGACTTGTTTGGTTTCTGGGGTCCACGTTGTTGATGAATCTGATGAAAAAGATGGGGGACCATAAATGTGTGTTTCCAGACTAGCAATGGAGCACCACTAGACAGAAATACTATCTTTGAAAGTAAATAAATTAATGGAAGGGGGATGGGAGGTAGCATGGTGGTTAAGGCACTGGACTCCCACTTGGCCAACCATGGTTCAAGTCCTGGACTAAGCAGTTTGAAAATCACACTGGGTACATGTGTGTGCATGTCCAAAATCCCAACAGGAGGAATGGGTTGAAAAGCTGTGGCACATATACACTATAGAATACTACTCAGCTATAAGGAAAAATGAGACCCTGTATTTTATTAAAAGTGGATGAATATAGAAGACTTCATACTAAGCAAAATAAGCCAGACTCTAACAGACACACACTGTATGTCCCCTCTCAATATGTGCCTAATGTCTGTTTTCTATGGCAGAAATGGAAAGATGTGAAGATATAACGGTAGGGAGGATATGTGTAAATATTAGAGATTGTTGGAGAAAGGAACGGAGGGGGTCACAGGTGGTGAAGTGGTTACAGCACTGGGCTCCCAACCACATTTCGAGAGCCGGACTCCTTGGCTTGAAAATCACACTGAGAGGAGCTGGCAGATGGCATAGAGGTTATGTCTGTCACTGGACTCCCACATGGTCAACCATGATTTGGACCTGGTAGCTTGAAAATCACGTCAGGTGCATGTGTGTACATGCCTAATATCCCAGGAAGAGAATAGAGGAGAAGGGATTGAGGTGTGGTCATCTCCTTGTGGGATAATTTTTCACTTTCCCTCTCACTATCTCGGTTTCTGACTCCCTCCAGTGAGTGCATGCACCCTAAGACAAAAACCTCTAAAGAAAACAAGAGAAAAGAAAAGAAAATTCAACTGGGCACATGTGTGTGTCTGCCCCAAATCAGACGAGGATAATGGAGGAGAAGGAATGATAGCATGACCATCCTCCCAAAGGGTGATACCTCATTTTTCCTTTCACTGTCTCTGTTTCTTTGAAACAAACACACACACCCTATGGCAAAAACCTTAAAAAAGAGAGAGAAGGAAATGGATGTTAGATGATAGGTGAGAGGGGCAGATCACAGGGAAGAAATATTTAACAGAAAAAAGAAGGTCAAGTTATCCATTAAAAATGATGTAGGTGGTAATATCTTTGGCTTGAGTGTAATGTACTATAAGCATATGTTGAAAAACCAAGTTGTGAGCTCTAGAGATGAACAATGATGGCCTCTAAATAGAAAGTGAATGAAGAAAAAGAACCCTTGATCAGCTGTGTGGCTCCCAGCCCTGCAGTTCAGTTTGGTACCAACTGTGCCCCCAGGCTGGATCTGAGGTCTGTTAATATTACCAAAAATAGACATATTTTACCAGGAACAGATCTCAGTGATAAGTTTTTAGATACAAAATTCGACTCCCTTGGTTCACAATAGGTCTACAAGGCCCTAATCACAGGACCAGGAAAAGTTTGTCTCCACCAATCACTTTGTGTCAATCTTTAACTTGACCTGCCACCTCTACCAAACTTTGTTTTTGAGAGTGATTCATTAGAAGTATCATTAAAACATTACCCCTGCCTCAGGCTCTGCTTCAAGAGCAACAAGACAGAGTTCTCAGAATTTGAATCATTTGACAAATATTGCAGAGCTAGAGAAAAACCAAAGTCTAGTTCAAAGCCCACATAAAAAAGGTTCTTGGTCAGCATGCTACATTCATTTAGGAAGATCTGAGGGAAAGAAGAGTCCGACATTGTCTTTGACTCATACTGGAAACCAAACCCAAAGCACATGATCACAGGAGACAAATTTTCCTTTGAACCAGCTTCCTCAAGGCTTTCATCATGTCCCCATTCTTCAGGCTGTACATGAAGGGGTTCACCATTTGAGGGACTATCATGTACATCATTGAGGCCACTGCAATTGTCCTGGGAGAGTCAGAAACCACAGAACTAAAGTACGCCCCAAAACCTGACCCATAGAATAAGGACACCACTGAGAGGTGAGACCCGCAGGTGGAAAAAGCTTTATACTTTCCACCTGCTGATGGTATTTTCAAAACAGAGAGGACAATTTTGGTATAAGAAGCAATGATTCCAGAGATACAAACACCACAAAATGCTAAAGCCACAATATTTATCACGATATTATTGATAAGGGTGTCAGAACAGGCGATTTTCATGATCTGAGCAAGACCACAGAAGAAGAGAGAGATCTCCAGGTCCGTGCAGAAGGACAGTCTCAGCACCATCAGACTATACAGAAGGGCAATCACACAGCTTACGAACAGAGAGACTAGACTCAGCAGAGCACAGAGCTGGGGG